TTCTTATCATAACCAAGCATTTTCTCTCAATTTATATTTAGAATGTGAATTGTATAAGATTTATAAAGTAGATTCTACAACTAAATCTTTCAGCATTTATCATTACTAAGTTTTCTAATTTTCGTATTTCTTGAAAGTCAATATATTCTAATATTGACAAAATAATATTTTTCTCAACTCATATATAATTAACAGTAATAATATTATTTTTTATTAAATTGATTTTATAAACTTTAAATTTTCAAAATGTTATTGAAAAATTTTTATTAGTAAAATACTTATTTTGGAAATTTAAGAGAAAATACCCATGCATTTAAGTGTGGCTAATATTAATGCTTTTTTTATATATTTAAATTATTTATCGTCCAAGGAGGTTGTTATAGAGAAGATAAATTTAATTAAGATTATTCATTATGTTTATCAATACCAATAATTATTTCCTTTTTAATTCTACAATTTAGGTGAAATTTCTAAATTTAATTGTAACTTAAGGGATATTATTTTTGTATAGATATTAATTAATTTTGTAAAAAAATCATTTTGAAGGGACAACAGTGATTATACATTGAGTAATAAATGTTTATTATTTGATGTATGTAAAATTTCACGTTGAGCTCAAGTTAATTAATAATTAAGATTCATATATAACGGTTAGAGAAGATTTAATTATGTCCTTAAATCTTAATAATTACAAAAATATTCTACATTTTAATATGTTTTCAAAATTTTTTAATATCTTATAAATTAACAGGTGATTGATACATTATCTTGAATTGAGAGTAATGTTAAAATTAATCAATATCATATTGTTTTAACTTTGTTATATTATTTAGTTTATAATATAAAATTAACTTTATTTTTTAAATCCTTGTCATATCTTTTTGATTATTATCTTTGTTATTAAATATATCTTTTATTATTTATAAACTAATTTTACAAAATTGTTAATTATATCTATTAAGACTTATGTTTATAAGTTGTAATAAATTAAATAAATTATAAGAATATCTTATGAAATAATCATGCAGTTTTGTTAAGTTAGATTTCAATTATGTAATTTAATCAATCTTTATTTTAATCATTTCAAATCTGAGCATACTGTTCTCTGTTTTGATTATTAATTTAATGTAGTATCACTTCACATTAAATCTCTATAAATGTTAATTAATATCAGTTTTTTGATAAGTAGATCTCAATAAATATACCCTACATTTCCTTAAAATGGAATACTTTTGTAAACTTGTATGAATCTTAAGATATCAAAATAAGGAGTAGAGAAAATAAAAGATATAATAAAAAAAATATAAAGAATGAATTTAAATAATAATTGTTGTAATGTTCTTTATGAATAAGAATTATCACTTTTACTTGAGATCTTCTAAAAAGCAACTACCGTTGGATTTGAATAAAGGTTTTAAATCTTTTCCTTAATGGTTCATAAATTCTCCTTACAATATAAGTGTACCTCTTGCTTCTAATAAAGGATTCTAACAGATCCTAAGTATTGTACGATCTGGCTCAACTAAATAATAA